AGTGCAGACACTAACCAAATCTGCCACTGTATATGGCCAAATGTTTGTGGACATCTTTTCTAATGGTTGAATTTAGGTGTTTTAGTGACACCCATTGCTAACAGCTGTATAAAATCGAGCAATCTCAATTGACACACTCTGGCAGTGAAGAGCCTAGTGACTTTAAATGTATCACTATTATAAGATTTAACCTCTGCCACAAGTCAGTTTGTGAAATTCCTACACCACTAGACCTGCACCATTCTGTTAAGTGTTGGCTTTATGAGAAGGAAATGTTTAACTATAGCTCAGCTACAATATGGTTGACCACACAAACTCACAGACCAGGGCTGCCTGATGCTGAAGCACGTAGTACATCTGTCCTCTGTTGCATCACTCACTGCAGCAACATCAGCACAAGAACTGCATCAGAAACTTCATGAAATGGGTTTCCCTGGCAGAGCAGCTGCACACAAGCCTAAGATCAATATGCACAATGCCAAGTGTTAGCTGGAGTGGTATGAAGTAAGTCACCACTGAACTCTTGCATAGTAGGAATGTATGTCTGAAGTGATGAATCACACTTCACTGTCTGATGTATTAACTTAGGTTCATCAGATGTCAGAAAAACACTACCTATTGGAATGCATAGTATCAGAAGTTTGGTGGAGGAGGGATAATGGTCTGGGGTTGTTTTTTTAAGGTTTGGGCTTGGTCCCATAGTTCTAGTGAAGTTCTAGTGGTCTTCACAGAGCCCTGCCCTCAAGCCCACTGAATACCTTTGGGATGAAGTGGGATGTTGACTGGAAGCCAGACCAAGCTCATCCAACATCAGTGCTTGACTTCACAAATGCTCTTCTGACTGAATGGGCACAAATTTCAAACAGACATGCTCCAAAATCTTGTGGAAAGCCTTCTCAAAAGAGAGGGGTTCTTAGAGCCACAAAGGGGGGCAACTCCATATTAACGGCCATGGTTTTAAAATGAGATGTCAAACAAGCCAGCATAGTTAGCTAGCCAACATGGTAATTTAGCATATCCAACTAGCCTGACCTCTTTGGTCTGGGGGAGGAAACCAGAGTACCCAGAGGGGGATACTCCAGTTTCCTCATGAAGAACCGGGAGAACATGCCATCTCCACATAGAAGGAACCCTGGCTGCCTGTCCGGGAATCGAACCTAGGCCCTTCTTGCTGTGAGGCAATAGCTGCTACCCACTGTGCTGTACATATAGACACTGTGATAGTTCACATGTGCTCAAAATGTGGTAAAGAGCGTGGCATGACAGGTGAAAATGCAGCATAAACATAAAACATAAAACATTTCATTGCACAATACACAAATGTGTCAACACTTTAGCTTCTTATAGCTAATGTAAGCTGTGAACATAGCTATGAACAATTTGACTGTATATCAGCATACTGTATACACATGGTCAATACTGTAACATTTGTTGCTCCTCAACAGTATATCTGTTCTTAACTAGGACAGATGTTTGGACAGATGCAATATTCTGAACCCAATAAATTCTCCACAAATATCTTCCTTTAAACAGCCATAGATCATGAAATTATTGATCTAGCTGTTGATCTATCTAAAGATCTTGGAGGTGTTCTGGTTTCAATTCATACTATATACAGTCCAAAAGAGTATCCTTAGCATACATTGCAGACACTGGACCACTTCTACTTCGCTTTGAAGTTAAACTTCAGAAGTGAATGTACCTTCTGTTTTGAGCTGTTATGCTGTTGACCTATTAAGGAAATATTTTGAAAGCACTGTAAATTAACAGTAGGACTTGGAGTTCTGTTGAGACAGCTCTATCACATTGTTTACATTTAACAGCATTTGTGTTTTGTTCCTTCTTTTTGTGGCTTTGGTGGCATCTTTGTTAAAATATTAATTCTTCTTACAGACCATGACCCGACAAAATCATTTACCATTTACACAGGGGTGCCCACAGCATGCAGGATGCATTGTTGTTGGTGTTGTTATTTAATGTAAAAAAAAAAGCACAAGCTTCACATTTTCCATTGAGATTCTAGCCCTGTTCCAATTTGCAACCTTGTGGTCCTCTGGTTTTCAATTGTGCATGCAAGGATTTTGAAGCCCATTTTTCATTTGCCATTCAACAGGTGCCTTTGACACTGTCTACTACCACTTATCCTCTGAGTCTTTCAAACAAGGATGGTCTCATAATCGAAGATGTCAAAACTTGCAGTCTTACAGAGAAGCAGTGCAGGTACCAACCTGACTCCCCAGTGGGGAAATAAGACATAAAAACAAATATACAGGATTAATAACAGTCAGAATTTGATAAACTAATAGATATGTACATTTTAAGTACATCACTACTTATAAAAGTGAATGTGTCAGCACTGTGAAAAATAGAGTGAGAGACAATGTTAAGGCAACGTGATCCATGAAGATATTTGAGTTTTGTCAACAGCTGCTTTTGTAGTCATTCTACACTTTTGTTCATTAGTTTAATCTATTTAGATTTGCCTGAGGTTTGATTTTCTGCTTTGACAGAACCAAGGGTCCTGGAACAAGACCCCTAATGCTATATTAGTTACCACCCTAACATGAGTAGACTGTAAGTCATTCTGGATGATGGTGTCTTCCAACAGTTGTTAATGCATTGTAGGTTGTTTCCCAATTAAAAGATTGTAATGTGGTAACTCATCTAGGTGGGTTTGAACCTTGAGCCCTTGGTATGAGGGACCAGCATAAACCAAGTGAGCTACCAACCGATAGTATGGGAAAAGGAGAGTATACACAAATATATAGATAAAAAGCAAACCTGATTACACACTAATAAGGACTGGGGGGAGTAGAATGACTAGGGAAAGAGGGGAAAGGAGAAAGACAATGGACTGAGGCAAGCCCCAAGAAGGATAGTACTATCATAAAAGAATTCCAGCACCCCTGGAAAGACAAGTGAAGGAAAAAGGAGAAGGAAAACAAAGGCTGTCAGGGGAAGACTGACAGGCTCAAGATCAGAGCACATGAAATAAAGCAAAAACAAGCTTCCTAAACTAAGGAAAATGTCAGAAAGAAGGAGTCCGTGAAAGTAAAGATGCCACAATCCCTGGGACTGGCAGAAAGTGACTGAGCAGAAGAATTGAGAACTGCTCTTTTATTCATTACCTTTTTGCTTAAGTTTACTTTAGCAATACTCAAAGGGGTTGAAAAGACAACCCAAGACTAAGCGCAAAGGTGAGAGTTAGCTTCCTTTAACTATGAGAGAAACAGTTGCTGGCAATTGCCCCTTATCATGGTGGAGTAGCTCTGTGCCTCCCTCTGGTGGCTGGAAGGTGGTTTAGCATGTGGCCCACCCCCAGAGCTCTTACAATACTGTTTTAATATTCAGCCTGATGTTGAATGAACAAGCAAAAAATAAAAATTTAAACAAAATAATTTAGAAAGGGTAACTACAAACTCTGCTGATGAGAAAACTCAAAAATCTCGGTGTATCATGCTGCCTTGAAATTTTAAAGTCTCTCAACAGCTTTTGCAATCTGGATGTTCCATTGGTCAGTTTGTAGGGACAAGCTGCTGGGGTTTATCTTATAGCTACAGAGGAAATGATATTTTAAACCATGCATGTCTAAAGTCGCAAACAGAACAAACAAGAACATAAGTGTGTCAGTTGCTTTAGAGACACATGCCTGGAAATGATGTACTTTTTCTCTGTAGCAATTCAATTACATTCAACTTTACACCAATACAGGGTTGTATAGCATAATAAAACACTGTCAGGATACTTCTTTGGTGCAGAGATAAAAGATTTAAGAACATTAAGAACAAGAAGAATGGTCCTAAGACTAGAGATCATAGACAATATTTGACTTGCACATTCTGGACAGGCAATTTGAGAAATAAACAAAAAACATAGATATTGCTGCACATTAGTGGGGGAGGTAGCCCTGCTGCTGCTGTTGCCAATGCCAGAGGAAAAAAAGTAATGAGAAGTTTAATGAAATAATTAGATAAACCCCAGCAGCAGCACATACTGATCTGGATGCTGCCTTTGAACAGTCTGAAAGTTTATGTTGACTGACTCTATTAACTCAATAATCACTTTTGCTTACAGTTAGTGACTTTCAAATGGGACCTCATCGTTTGAACAGTATGTGTCGCTGTGATTTGCTGGAAATATCTCAGAATTTCTTTGATAGGGACGTATGTATGTAGAATCTGCACAACAGAATAAAAATTCATCTTTTCAATAACAAAGGCTGTTAACTAGAGCAGAGGTGGCCAGCCCTGTTCCTGGAGATCTTCTGCCAATTTTGTTTAGTTTCATTGCACACAGCTCAAATGTTGAGATCCTCAAGGAGTCCTAAAGGCCTTGATTAATTTGATCAGTGGTGTTCAATTACACTGCAAAAACCTGCTCTCAAAGTACCGTTAAATAGTCAGTACCTGTTTTTATTTATTTTTTTTTGAGAAAATAAGTTTAATGCATGTATATAAGCCTTATGTATACTGTATTTTAACACTTCTGTTGTTTTTTAACAGTGTAGGGTTTGGCTAAACTCTACAGAGCAAAGGGTTACCAAAAACAGGGTCAGTCACCCCTTAATTAGAGTATAATTAGAAAGTCATCATCATTCAAAAGAAAAGACAACATGACCTGCTGATGACCTTGCAGAAAGCAGGTCCAGGTCTCACACGGTATCAGCTGGGTTACACTGTACTGAGATCAGCACTGATAAACATACCAGTGATCATTACTGCTTCATACAGTAGCAGAAGGAGGAACTGGACAAAGTCTTGCATGCTGGAACAGTCAGTGGTCTCTATGAAACACATTACCAGGAATTAATAATAGACAGGAAAATAAAAAGACATCACAGTTTCACTGAAAGTTAATTATAATTTAGCAGAAGTTGAAGTGAAGCTCATCTCTTGCTGCAGCTAAGAAGGTCACATGCTTCCTCTAGAAGGCACGAGCAAGTTCATGAGCCTGGGTATTTTTATTGAGCATGAGAGCTTAGATTCAAGTGGTAGCCACACCTAAAACAGTGTCAGTGCTGCCTGTGTTCTCATCATTTCTCATGTAGATGCTGGTGATGAGCCTCGTTAGTTGATGGTAAGATAATTTCTTTATATTAAAGTTTTTACTCACCATTAGATTAATAAAAACATAGTTATAGCTATAGATTTTTTGGAAATTTGTATTCAGTACTAGTAAATGGCTTTGGCGCAAAGTAATTACAATCAGGGTGGTTTTAGCAATATCCATTAACAAACATTTACAGAGTCTTATACAACATTTGCATTTTCCTACATAGAACATTTAGGTAAGTAGTGCTAGGCTGACCTTTAATGCTACAGACAAATGCTTCATTTTCACCATGTGCATAATGTGGTACTCTGTTGTGCTACCTTATGTGTTTTTTTTATGTTTTCAAATACCAGGTTACAGTATAATTAATATTGCTTCTGATGGTATTCTGCTAGTGGTCGACAACAGAAAACAGGCTTGATGTGTAGTAGTTGTGTGATCAAATTTTCCATGCCCATGATTTGACAGCAGAAAGCAAGTTTGAACACAATTAAAGCGCACACTTATGAAAATGTTCCTCATCGCTGTAAGATGCAGATAGTGATAAGGAATCATTGTTCTTTTAGTCAGTTTTTTCAATGATTCATTTGAATCAATTCAAGAGTCCAGCTGAATGGATTTCTGTTTATATACAAAGTCGTGACCAATTAACTGAAACAACATGAAGTGTCTTAGTATGGTGTTGGGCCACAATGAGCTGCCAGAATAGCTTCAATGTACCCACAATGTGCACCTAGATTCTTTAAGTCTCTAGACTGTACTAGTGGAACACCATTCTTCTTAAATACATTTCTTGGCGTTTTGGTTATGGTGGTGGAGAGCGCCAGTCTCACATGTTTGGTCAAAGTTCTCCCATAGGTGTTCAATTGCACTGAGATTTGGAGAACACAAAGGCCATCACAAATAGTTTTATACAATGTTCTTAATAGAATTATTGGAATATCTGACATTTGGAAGGAAGAACATACCTGAAACCCCTCCTTTGTCCAATCTAATGCTCTACAAATTACCATACTTGCCTTCCATTTCCCATGACTAAGATGTTGCACCTCCACCACCACGCATCTCCACCAGCACCCCATCTTCTCCCTGTTCCTTGATGTCATCGTTGCGAGTTACAGCCATGAGACAAAAGAGATCAGTCAAAATAACTTTACAGTAATTTCAGAATCGGAATCACTTTACTTTGCCAAGTATGTTACATAAAAAATGAATTTGTCTTAAGCAGTTTAACATTCAAATCTCTTTTCTCACTGAACTGATAATACTGTTTTTTTTTCATGCACAATTAAAAAATACACAATGAAATGTATTTACTGAGTTTTGAATTGTGTTTTGAGTACTGATAAATGTTTGTCAAAGCAAGTTCTAGCTTTATTACAAAACAGTACACTTTTGTCATCTGAATATATGAATATGCTGCCCAGAAGGAACATATCTGTTCAGTTGATATTACAGGCATTGATGCGATGACATCACTCAGAATGGCTCATCCTCTGATATTTCTGCTCATGATTGTGGGTGAGTAATCAGATCCTAATGTAACATCATCACTACAGCAGCATGTGTTTCCTCTCTAATTTACAAGTAGCTTGGTGACTGAACATAAATTTGTTCGTGGCCAGATAACATCAGTCATTATGTTGAAAGTTACTATTTACAGCTTCTCTTCAGCCCCCACATTTACCCCACTGCAACCCTTTCAGGCTTTGTGTTATCTCTCAGAATCAGCTCAGTGTTGTAGAGGAGCTGCTGGAGTTGGAGAGGAGAGAAGTGAAGCTGTAAGCTACAGTAACTCTGACTGTCTTATGGGCTCCAGACTCTGTAATCAGCTCTTTCATGCATCATATGTTTCAGGAGCTTTTGGAACAAAGTGGAGTGTGAAGTACAACCAACAGGAAATATGTGCTTTAAAAGGATCCACAGTGTTTATGAATGGAACTTATACTCACCCAGAAGGTCTTACAGTGAGAGAGACTTTTTGGACTATAGACTCAAATCAGACGCCTGATCTGTCTAAAAACCCAGATTATTCAGGCAGAGTCGAGTATTTCACTGATGAACAGAAACACTTCTCCCTCAAACTGAGTGATGTAATGGAGAAGGATGAACATCAGTACTGTTTCAGAATCAAAACAAATGTCGATAAAGAAAAATGGCTGGGTAAACCTGGAGTTAATCTCAGAATTACAGGTAAGTTAAAGACTATTTCATAAATGAGACAGCTCTTAATCTCAATTTAGCTAGAATGGTCTTAGGGTGAGGTAGTGCTTTGACACGTTCATGCTGCTTTACTTTAAAGATTTGGTAAGCAATGTTTGCTGTTCAAACACAAATATTGCACAGCTTCATCATAGGTCATGTATAACATATAGGACTGCAAAGGTTCCTCAGTAATGGACCTGAAAATAATGATGTAACAGTAATGGAAACAGAAAGGACTTTTCCAAATGTGATTATTTTGTCATTGTCCTAGACCTTCATGTAGAAGCTCCTGAAGAAGTGACAGAGGGAGAAACAGCAGTTCTGACATGTAAAACCACCTGCAGTCTGACTGACCCAACATTCATCTGGTACAAAAATGGACATCCTTTAACCACAAAGACCATCAAGAACAACCAGCTCCACCTGCAGACAGTCAGCAGTGAGGATGCAGGCAGTTATAGCTGTGCTGTAAGAGGATATCAACACCTCCACTCTACTGCTCACAACCTCACAGTCAGATGTGAGTGTAGTTCATATCCTTCACTACATACCAGAGATGTTCACAAGTTGCTTCATTTGAGTCTCAAGTCTTTAGTAAAGAATTTCAGTCTCTTTATTAGCTGCAACTTTCAGCTCTAAAACAGCTTTAAATAATGATCATTTCGTCCTGTTTTAATATCAGTGAGAAGAATAAAAAAGTTTGCATCAACATAAGGTTGGAAATAAAAGGTTTTATTTGTTTACCATGTAAAGATTGGTGTTTTTAATTTAATTAGTTTTGTTCGTGCTTTCTTTCTGTGGCTGAAATTTTGAGACTTTTAAGTCTTAATGACAGTCGATTGAAGAATCAAGTAAGCGCACATCTGATTAAGTCAGTTAAGTTTGCATCTAGTAAGTGCAAGTCTGAGTCATGTCACAAGTTACCATCTCTGTTATATAACCTCTTTATAGAGGTTTATAAGACAAACAAGCAAACAAGATAATAAATGTTTAAGTAACATGAAGTCATTGTCATTTTAAAAAAAATGTCTTTAGATCCTCCAAAGAATGTCTCAGTGTCCATCAGCCCCTCTGGAGGTGTGCTGGTGGGCTTTTCAGTGGATCTGAGCTGCAGCAGTGATGCAAACCCACCTGTGAAGAACTACTCCTGGTTTAAAGAAGGTGGAACTCCACCTGTAGGGTCAGGCCACAGTTACAGTCCTCTACAGAGTGGATCTTACTACTGTGAGGCTCAGAATGAACATGGAGCTCAGAGATCAGATCTGATGCCAGTCAATTTAAATGGTGAGAATAAATGTATTTGTATTTTTTCCATTTTCTGTATCGCATGATTAATTATTACAGTTCTGGTTAGGAATGTGTTTGTTAGAGTATTGATGTGTTCAGCAGGTTACTCAGTGATTCTGTATTTAGCTGCTGGAGTCGGACTTTGTGGGGTTGCAGTTTTTCTCACAGTATTTTTCTGGAAAAGGTGAGAATCCTGGTACAGTGAGAAGTTAAATACAGTTGCTAAAGTATCTCAAAAAATAAAACAACAACTCTTTTGTTGTTCTTTTGTTTGTTTTGAGAGCAGAAGGAAGAGGCAAACGAGAAATATGAATGCGTCAAACTGTCTGGTGAGCTCCTACAGAACTCTTGATATCAGTCAGTCAGTCAATGGCGGGTCCAATTACCCTCCTGTTAAAATGACTCATTTCTAACCTGTTCTCTGACTCTTTATTCTGTAGAACACAGGCCTCAGTGCCCCGCCTCCTGATGATGACTCATCCAGTGCTCAAGACTACGAGAATGTAATGGTGAGTCCCAAACATTGAAGTCTTATTACACTATTATTACACCACATTCCAGCTACATTTTGGAGAATTCCAGAAACTTTAAAGCAAGTAATGACACAGATCTTAGTACTTTAAGATTAATTGACTAAGTTATGTACTCATCATTCTTTTACAGGTGCACTGCTGGAAACTGTAGGGATTAATCCTTGACCCAGTGTGTTTTATTGCATTTATAGCACACTTTCATTCTTGATTTTTAATAGAATTTTTGATTTATAATAAATTGATTTTGTGTCAGCTCAAGTTTTTTTTTTTACACCGCTTGAAGAAAAATAGCTCTGGTCTAACACTGCTACAATTAAAGTCTACTACATAATGTATTTTAGTGGATTAGTTTCTCCTCTGTTTTTGGCTAATTTGTCTGTGTTTTGCTCAAATACAACAGGCTTAGCTGGAGTATTTAAAGTGAAGCATTAGTGTAATGCAAGCTGTTGACCTTGACTACTAATGCCCCTTTACTGATCTGTTCGCTAACTCTTTGTTCTGCAGCAAGTTGGCCTTAGAGCCCCGCCTCCTGATGACGACTCATCCAGTGCTCATGACTACGAGAATATGACTGTGAGTTCCAAACATTGTCTTATTACACTATAATTACACCATAATCCTTGACTCTTTTAGTGCTTGTGTCTATGCAATATAGAAGTGAGTCGCAAACCAAAAACACTTATTACATTGTTATTACACCAAATTCCAACACATTTTATAGAATTTAGAAATTTGAAATCAAGTAACGACACAGATGTTAGTACTTTAGGATGAAGTGAATGATTTATCTACTCGTCATTCTCTTACTGGAAATTGTAAGGAATAATTATTAACCTTGAGGGTCTTTTTGTGATTATACCACAGTTTCATTCTTGATTTCTATTAGATTTTTAGCCAATCATGACACAAATATGGACTAACAATAAAGTTTATTCACACTGCACAAAAAAATGTAAAAGACAAAATGTAAACAAGGTATGAGCCATTCGGCCAAAAAGCTTGGCAGAACAGGCTACTCATTTTACATTTGTAACACAATTTAACCCTTAATAACCCAGGTTTATTTTATACAAAGGCTTATTATTCAGTAACTACAGGGACATCAATGCAAACTAATGGATATATTCTTAACGTTTTAGAAGTGTGTAATAACACTTTGGCCTGTTAAGGGGTTTAAGCACGGCAGATAAATAAAAAATGATTTGACCAACTAAGACTTACAGCAGGAAAATTTGAGGAAGATTGTAACCCATCAGCTCACTTCAATCCACCTCATGGATAGGATTCTCCTCATCCACTGGTGGCAGGCTTTACTGCAGTATTTAAGGTGGAACATCAATATAATTGATGTTCTGTTGCCATTGGCTAATGACAAATTCCTGACCAGTTCTCTAACACTCTGTTCAGCAGAAAGCAGGTCTCAGAGCCTCACCTCCTGATAATGACTCAGCCAGTCTTCATGACTATGTCAATGTGCCAGTGAGTTCAAGTCTTGTTACCTTGTTATTACAAGAGAATCCAACTAAATTTTAGAGAATGTGAAAGTAAAGTTCCTGTTAAATGTTAATTTGTAATCTGATGCTGTAAATTTGTAATGGAAAAAAAATAGCTCTGACCTAACACTACTAGAAACACTACTAAATGAAGTCTTGCCTTGCTAAGTTTAAGCTTAAAGACATTAGTTTCAAGTGTCATTATTATTAAATGTTGACACTGAAATAATGCTTCACAGTGAGATTCCTGAACTAACCATGGTCTGATAATTAATCATTGTGCAATAGTGCATGTTGGTTAGCCAAAAGAATGTATGTATTTGTTATGGACTGGATGTATGTGTGATCTGCCTTAGAAACAATATTTTGTATCATCTTATAGACTTCGAGGAAGCATCACTAAGACCATCACCACAGATATCAACTAAGAGTGCACCAGCAATTCAATGGAAAACCACAGCCGAGTGAGAGAGAGAGAGAGAGAGAGAGAGAGAGAGAGAGAGAGAGAGAGAGAGAGAGATTACTGCTTTGAAACATGACATGGTCAGTTTTTACATACAAGCCTTAGACTTCTAAACCCATATATCAAAATATAAACATATCTGTATGATTTGCTGTAGAGTGTTGTTTCTCTATGAATTGTTTAGACCTGAAAACATTCTGGTATAAATCTTGTGTAACAGCTCTCATGCTCAGTGTGTTTCGTATGCTTTATTTGCTCTATTTCTTTACATTTCAATAATAAAATGTGAAATATGTAAACATGTATAATCGTTTTGATCTGTGAACTGATTTGTTTAGTGGGACTAAATCATGGCTTTACTACTCAATATATTTCACGGCTCACCTGAGGGGTTCTGTTTGTTCAACAAAGTGGTCGGGACAGTTTTTGAGGTGTGGAGAAACTGGTTGTTATGGCACTGTCAGGGTAAAGAGGATATGGTGGAATTATAATTATCTGGCAAATACTGTAGTCTCACATTCCTGCCACTCCAAACACTCCAATCATATAATCTGCCCATCAATATCACTCATTAAAATATATTTTGGTGCTCCTACAAATGTCAAATATAAAAATATTCCCTGCATGTTTCATTTTACTTTTGATTTGACTTATGTGCAGTCTATAAATTAATAAATTGATCTTCTTCTTGTTACTATTATTATTAATATTATTTTTATTACAGCATGTGTGCAAATGCATGTGTCAATTGTCCAGTTTCTCAGCACAGAGAAACAGCGCCCTCCTCCTCTCAATTGCAAACTGCAGACAGACACAGTCACACTAGTGATGACATCAAACCCCATGGCCACTTAAAGTGAAAGTACAGAACCATACCTCTGCATATGACTAAGACAAATGTTAAAGAAATATCAGGTAAATAACTATTAAAAACTGGGAAAGATTTATTAACAATAAATGTATACTTTTCACTGGATGGCATTTAATGGACTGGAATTCGTATGTGCAAGATCCAAAGACTAAATCATGTTGCAGGGATTTATTTTGTAGCTAGAGAAGACACAACATCATTTACAGTGAGTACTAGTGAGTACTAGTAACATCTAAAATGAGGCCATATTCCAAAATGTAAGTTTGAAAACATGCTGATCTGCTTTTAGAACTTGGTTTATTCCATTTGGAGGGGAATATAACAGTTATCTTTGTCTGTCTTATGAGAAAAAAATGCATTTAGTGTAGAAAGTCAGAATTTGTTGACCTTGTTAAATACTTGCCCTAGGGCATGAACAAGGGCATTGATACATGTGTGTGGCTTTTAATGCAAACAGAAAAGGTTAGCTGCAAAAATCGGTGGCTGAATAATATATATATATATATATATATATATACATACATATATATATATATATATATATACATTGGATAAACAGGGACAAGAACATATTTCAAACAAGTTATTGACTTGTGTAGTCATCTCACAAATAAAATGCAGTAAAGTAAAAATTAGCCTGCTGAAAATGTATGTACTAGAATTTAGACAAAGGCAAATGCGGTAGATGATGTAGCCTCCTTCTGCAGTCCACCTAGTGACCACTGCCATGGCTTAAAGGAAATTGATTAGGATGTTTGTAATTGATGTTATTAAATAAAATACTTTATTCCCCTGAACTCTGTTATCAGATTAACTAGGACACTGTTGGCTCTGTGTTGAGCAGCTATTAAGCAATGAAGAGGAAAAGGGCAGGAATGAGAACCTCCTGCTGTTCAATTCAACAATTCACTCCTTACAAAGCCATGCTTAGCTAGAACAGTATAACTGCAACACTCTGGATATCAATCAATTCTATACAACTGCCCTAGTAAAAATAGCATTTAAACACAAACACTTTTATAATGTTGACTTGTTAGCTCACCTACAAAGACAAAAATTCAGTTTGCTTATGTTTTTGTAAATCGTACACATTCTCACGAAAATATACTACATCAACATTGATGAAAAAAACAAAGCATAGTTCATCTGAGGTACCAAGAATTTGGCTACTGTGAAGAGGGTGTCATTGTGGCAGGCATAAGCAAATACCAAGTAAAACAAAGGTATATGAACAGCAAGGAAAAACTCAAAGGAAGACATACAATTAGACAGAAAACCACTGAAACGAAAAGCTAAAAGAATAGACTAGAAACACTGGGAAAAGAGAGATAAAACTACACAGAAGTGGAAACACTAATGACAAGTCAGGATTAAGGAGGAGACAAAGGAGGAGACAGGCAAACAAAAACAAGAGCAAAAATAAGACTACATAAGGTCAACCAAATCAGCGACCTGCACTGCCTGAGCCAAGTCCCGCACACAGAGTCCCAACCAGCAAAAGTCCTTGCTCAGGGCCACGTCCTTGCCACTTCAGCTTCTTCTGAGCATGGCAGGACCTCTCCTAGCTTACCATGTCAAGTCTGGTGCTACTGGAAATGGTGACAGCAGTAGCAGCCCTCCGGTTTCCCTGACATCCACCACACCATTGATGCTGGTGAGTGTGCCCCTTGTGCACATTGGAACCCTGATTCTCTGCCTCAGCTCCATTGCTGGTGACTGGCCTGAACTGGATGTAGGTTGAATTCCAGCCGTCTGATGTGCCTCTCTCAGTGTGTGTGTGACCATGTCTGGTCATAGAAGGCATCTGTTTCCCTGCCAGCTCAGGTTCCTGGCATTGTCTGCCACAGTGTCCCATCATCAAATCTCGTCGAGCCTGGCTGCACTGTCTTTCACTCGCCATTCCACTCCTTGTCACAGGGTTGTGCTGTCCCACTTCTGACAAAAAATGTCAGCAAGTGGTGCGAGTGTGAGGGGTTCTGGAAAGGGCCCCACCTACAGACTCTACAGTCTTGTTGGGAGACTTCAATGCTCATGTTGGCAATGACTGGGAAACCTGGAAGGGGGTGATTGGGAAGAACAACCTGCCCAATCTAAACTTGAATGGTGGATTGTTATTGGGCTTCTGTGCTAGTTTGAACACAAGGACATTCAAAAGTGTACTTGGTACCAGAGCTCCTTGGGTCAAAAGTTAATGATCGATTTTGTTGTGATTTTATCTCACTTGGGACCATATGTTCTGGACACTCCAGTGAAGAGGTGAGATGAATCAGATGACAGGGAAGATTGGTGGTCAGACCTGGTAGACCCAAGCAAATAGTGAGAGTGTGCTGGGAATGACCAGCAAAGGCTTTTATTCAGAATGATTTTAACTCCCACCTCCAGAAGAACTCCTCTCTTGTTCTGGAGATGGCAGGGGACATGGAGGCCTAATAGACCCCGTTCAAAACCTCCATTGTGGAAACTGCCAGGCATAGCTGTGGCCAAAACCTTGTTGGTGCCTGTCATGGCAGCAAATCAAGAACCTCACGGTGGACACCAGTGGTGAGAGAGGCTGTAAAGCTGAAGAAGGAGGCCTTTAGGGACTCGATGGCCTGGAGGACTCCCAACTCAGCAGATAGGTACCAGAACGCAGAAGAGGTTTGGCGAGGCTATGTAAAATACTTTCGGGTTGGCTTAAAGGAGGTTCTGGACAACTGTCCTGTGACTTAGAAGTGGTCAGAGTGGCTTTGCTCAAGCTATAATCAGCAGGCGTGCAGAAACTCTGACTTCAAATGAGGTTTTTTTTTGGTCAGTGGAAGGAGCACTCTGAGGAACTCCTAAACCTGAGAGACATGCCTTCAACATGCAAATCAGGGCCAGAGGCTTCTGGAATGTCAGACATTTTCCTGGTGGAGATCACTGAGGTAGTTTCTTTGGTGGCAAGACACCAAATGTGGATGAGATTCGTCTGGAAATGCTTAAGACTCTGGATGTTGTGGGGCTGTCATGGCTGACTCACCTCTGCAATGTCACATGGACCTAGGAAATAATACCCTTGGACTGGCAGGCGAGGGTGGTGGTACCTATTTTTAAAAAGGGGGACCGGACAGTATATGCCAATTACACTGCTCAGCCTCCCTGGAAAAGTTTATGCCAAGGTGCTGAAAAGGAGACTCCAACTGACAGTCAAACCTTGGATTGAGGAGGAACAATGAGGATTCAATCCTGGCCATGGAACAATGGACCAGCTTTTCACCCTCACGCAGGTTGAGGGGATATGGGAGTTTGCCAGCTCAGTCTACGTGTGTTTTTTGGACTTGGAGAAGGCTTACGACCGTGTTCCGAGAGATATCCTGTGGGAGGTCCTCCAGGAGTATGGAGTGCCGAGGCCACTACTCTGGGCCATTCAGTCTTTGTACTCCAGGAGTGAGAGTTGTGTCTATATACTCGGTATTAAGTCAGGCTCACTCAGTGTAAGTGTTGGACTCTGCCAAGGTTGTGCCTTGTCTCCACTATTGTTCATGAGTCAGAGAGTCATGAGTCGGATTTCTAGACCTTAGTCCAATCCAAGAAATCAGAGTATACTGTTTACGTGACCATTTGAATAATCAGATAACCACAAATATCCAATTATAATCAAATTATTAAGTGCATGTAAATCCACTCATTGATTAACAGAAACACTTCTGCATCAAACTGAGTGAGGTAATGAAGGAGGATGCACACAAGTACTGCTTCAGAATTGGCTGGGTTAAGTTTTCAGGTTAATATTTTGCTCTGCTATATCCTGCTGTGCTAAAGCATGGGAAACATTCAAATGTTCAGGACTGATTTTCTTCAGTGATGTAGCTCAGAATAAGACCACAGAGAAACAACGTCAAACAAGTGCAGGAGTACTTGCCTGACTAGTTGCAGTTTTTCTTTCTTGATTTGATTGTTTTGCTCACTGTCTCTGATCTGAACAAAGAAACTGTCCATCGTTTCAATAAAATAATACAGGACACTGAAACCATTTGATTTGTATGTCTGTCTTTTTGTCATTACCTGCAAATGTTTGCTTTTTGATACAAACTCATCAGTGTTTTCAGAGGACTCCATTTTCCACCTACTGCAGAACTATGGACAGTCAGTAATGCCAAGTGAACTGTACAGTCCGTACCATGTCTTGTCTTTGAGATTGAGAATGTCTAGGGGTCATGCAGTGGCCTTCTCTTAACAAGAGTAAAGAAAATGTATGTCTTTCAAAGTTGATAACTGAATTAATGTGTGGAGGCAAGCGTGTTTAAATCCCTGCTATATTATTAAGAAAAGCAGTTTATTAATTTTATGTACTTTTTGACAATGTGCTAAAATCAAAACGTATAAGCCCATATTTTGTCCATTTCCAAAAGTACTTTTACCCAACCCAACTCTACCACAATCTGGAACAATGAAGAAGTCGAAAGTTGACCCTTGCTGTTCATCAAGAAAAACTGAATGCTTGCCAGCTCATTTGGCAAGTGTGGAATAATCTAGTGTGATGTTACAAACAGTATCATATAGACAGTTTGTTTAAACTGTTAAACTTTCTTAAAGTTTTTTATATAAACTTTTTTGAACTTTCCTAATTGACTTCAATAGTACAGCCTTTTTATTGAGTTTACTTATTTTATTCACTAAATGTGTCCTCGTTATTCTTATGTGGTGTTCTCTAACACTTCTGATTGTGTGCTAATGTATATTTAGATATAGTATTAATAATGTCCATGGTGTAAAGTAAGCAGATTCATGTGATCTATGGTATTACTCAACAGCATGAGGGTTACTTACTGGTTTTCCTTGTGTACACAGTACTGTGAACATGCAGCATGCTAACTTCTGCTTTTCTCTAGCTTTCCAACCACAATCACGTGTCAGTTTTTTATTTTTTTTTCCCTGTGGTTTCAGCTAAAGGTTGATGCTGAGTGTTACAAATGAACAGTATTCAAAGCAAACATGCTGCAAGTGGAAAATCAGCCAGTATTTCACAAAATCTTTAAGTGGAGCCATAAATGTACATGTGTGCCAAAACCAAAATACTAAGCAGTTCTTAAATTAAGTAGTAAACAAGAATGCAAAAAAGGTTATAAGCAGGCATAAGACTACCATATGTGACTATAAGAGCATTTGTTTTGACAACAGCCTACAGCAAGTTAATGAGGACATAAAGTCTGTACTCTAATTTCAGGGAGGGCTGCCATGGCTTGTTATTGCAGAAGAGAAGAATGGGTCAGCAAAAAAGCAGAAGAGAAAGACTGGAAGACCACAAGGAAAAAAAAATAAAATCTTTTTCTATACTCTTCGCTGATTCAGTACAGTGAATTAAGACTTAATCATTTGATTTGTTTGTTGAATATTTCTTGGAACCTCTTCTAAAATCCTGATAGAATTTTATACCCATAACTCACAAAATAGGCCACTCCAATTATAAAGCTCACTTAAGTAGTAAAGTAGCAAATATAGGGGGTAACAAAATATTTAACCCTGTTTAAAAAATCTACATCATAAAAAAATTCTGAAAAAAAATCTTTTTAAAAACAGTAATTTTATTGAGAGCAGTACAGTTTTTTAAAGTCAAAATAAATTATTTTCCTGCTAATATTTTATAGACAATGAAAAACTAACATTACTTGGCTTCTTAAGTATGTAGGTTTTCTGTGAAATTTTTAAATAAAATATATGAAATGTGTTCTATAAAGCTGACGGAAGCAGCTGATAAGTAAACAGTGAAAATAGGATTCTTCCTTCTATGACCCAATGATTTTGGTCCAAATAGAGCAAAGTATCTCTGACAACTTGATCTGACATGTGAAACCTCACATGTGAGAAAGATATATGTTAAGTCCCAGCCTCCTGCTAGTCCACCTCCAACCACTAGGAGGAGAGCTCAGTCTTGATTTCATGGTGCCACATGCATGACTCTGTGCTGAGCCTGTAAACAAAATTCTCTCAGGTCTCAAGTTTTTGTTAAACCCTGGGGTTCCCTTCCAGTTGTTTTCCTTGTGTAAGTATAAAACCATTTCAATGTCAATTTAAAAGTAAATCAGTGATTTATGCAACAAAGTAGGACAAGTGACAGCTGAGAAGCTTGATAAAATTCATTGGGTTACAGTTCATTAGTGTTGAGATTTAGACTCAGGTAGACTGAATCTGACTGGTTGGTTTTGGGATTCATGATCTGGTAGACTGAATTAGATTGAGTAGTACTGGGGTCTTGGCTTTGAGGGACTGAATTTAATAGGTTTTTTTTGGGATTCATGATCTGGTAGACTGAATCAGACTGGGTGGTGTTGGGGTTTTGGCTTTGATGGATTGAATCTGATTGGTTCTTTTTGGGATTCATGATCTGGTAGACTGAGTCAGACTGGCTGGTGCTGGGGTCTTGGCTTTGATGGACTGAACTTGATTGGTTCATTTTGGGATTCATGATCTGGTAGACTGAGTCAGACTGGCTGGTGCTGGGGTCTTGGCTTTGATGGACTGAATCTGATTGGTTCAATTTGGGATTCATGATCTGGTAGACTGAATCAGACTGGCTGGTGTTGGGGTCTTGGCTTTGATGGATTGAATCTGATTGGTTCTTTTTGGGATTCATGATCTGGTAGACTGAATCAGACTGGCTGGTGTTGGGGTCTTGGCTGTGATGGACTGAACTTGATTGGTTCATTTTGGGATTCATGATCTGGTAGACTGAATCAGACTGGGTGGTGTTGGGGTCTTGGCTTTGATGGATTGAATCTGATTGGTTTGTTTTGGGATTCATGATCTGGTAGACTGAATCAGACTGGCTGGTGTTGGGGTCTTGGCTTTGATGGATTGAATCTGATTGGTTCAATTTGGGATTTATGATCTGGTAGACTGAATCTGTTTGGTTGTTGTTGGGATGTAAATTCAGCTGTCCTAATTTTGACTTTTTTGTATTAGGGTTTATTCTCTGGTAGACTGGATCTGATTGGTTGGTTCTGGGTGTTACACTCATATAGAGTACATCAGATTGTTGGATACTGGTGTGAACACTCTGATAGACTGTGTCTGACTGGCTGGTATCAGGGTTCCCACTGTGATAGACTGAGTCTAACTGGCTGGTTTCGGGGTCCTCTCTTTGGTAGACTGGATTGATTATCATGGACTGGTAATTTTCAGATGGATGGTTTTCATTGTTGGTTCTATCCTATACAAATAAACACAATATAAATTCCAGAGCAGTGTTGATGGTATCCTCAATCAGAATAAAAGAGTCATAAACAGTGAATGTCATTCACTTACCTCATGTCTTCTGGAATCCCTCTGTGGTATTATCGAGCTAAGAGAGCCTGTAAGGAAAACATTTTTTTTTGTTAATTGTTATTGGTTATGTTTAATAATCTTGCTCTGTGTGTGTGTGTGTGTGTGTGTGTGTGTGTGTGTGTGTGTTTGTGTAAATGTATTTATATGACCTGATAATGTATTTAAATTCTTCCATCGTGTGCAGAACAGCACTAGAACACTGAGAGTGATTCCAGAGACCAGCATTGAAACACACACATACAGAATGATGGAACCTGGAATCAAAGATTCAATTGAATTAAACATTAATCACCTCTACAGGCACTTTAAATTCATGCATAAAAACAAAGAAGAAGGACATAAAATATTTGGAAAATATTTGGAAATTAAGAAGACATTTAAAGTAGTTCAGTATCCTTGCTGTCACGCAAATCCTTGTATCTCCATCTTCGTCATTTTTTAAATATTTTTGCATAATTTAAACATTTGCTTAATTTGAAAATTTCCCTGTGCCTTGTGTTAAAATTTCATGATGATCAGACGAACATAAAATTGGAAAAAATGTGTGATATTGACTGCCTAACAAATTAAGATTTTTTCCATTTTTGGACGTTTTGGAGATACAAGTTTTTCTTTCCACACTGACAATATGTGGATAACACAGAAAAACAAAGAGAAAGAGAGAAAAAAAATAGAATTAGCATGTCAGATATCTCTTTTGCTGCAGTGCTGAAAGACCATTCCACAGCAGTGACCCCTTTTTTGAAGCTAGGTTTAATACCAACATTTATAATCATCAACATGTAGCATTAAAACAGCAACACTTCAGAATATCATAGATTAATAATTAAAATTAAATTATAATAGTGAATAATTCAGTCTTTTTTTTATAATTCAGTTTTTTTTTTTTTAAATTCTGCTAGTAAATGTTCTTATATTCAGGAGCAAAGATGTAAACTCACGAAGTACTTAAGATGAGACAGGAAGGATATAAACAGTGTTTAAGTTATCTAAACTTTCATGTACCTGGAGAAGGAGGCAGTTGTGCAGACTCAGAATTCACTGAGGTATTAACAGAGAGTGTTGGAGTAGACTGGGAGACATTACTGTCATCAGATGTTTCTGAATGATGGAAAATACAGAACTTCAATTAATTTATACTTTCTAGACTAAATAAAAATAATCTAGTGTTCTAGTGGTTTCTGTAGCTATGCTTTTTATTCAGGTCAAGTGGTAGACCTTTCAAAGCTAGCAGAGCTGATGTGCATACACAGTGTCATCAAACTCATATGGGTCCAGAGTAGTATTGTCATTATATGTAAAAATACTATGAATACAATGTACATTTGAACACGGAAGGTTTTACTCTCTCTATACATTAATTTAGGTGAGATTGTGATCATGTCTGTAACTACCATGAGGTCACCAAGTTCGAGTCTCCTGTAGTTGAAGTTTTAGAATGGTTTTCAATGTGGAAACAGTCATGAAACCACCAAATCAAAGGGGCTGACTCTCAGCTGACCTCAGATCAGATGTGGCTTGGCCGTGAGACTTACTTGACCACTATGTTTATCTCTGTAGAAAGATGCTACACTACACAGAGTGACTTTGACTTGAGTGCAACTCATATGAAAGGCCTACATATGACATTTTGTGTAGGGAGCAGTTTTTTAGGCTTGACCTTCAGATATGTGCTGGCACAGCATTATACCCAAATAACTGGACTAAACATACATTCATCCTATTTTCCACTTCCTTTTTTTTTCCCATGCCCCTATGCTTTAGCAATTTCTGTCTACTTTGCACTTCTTTCACCTCAGAGGGTTCATGCAAGAGGGTAAATGCTTTGTTTTTCAAAAATTGATTAATTTCTTAGTTTTATTTAGTTTGTTTCTTTATCTTTTATTTAATATACTTCCAATGCATATACAGTGCCTTCCACAAGCAGTGGCAACCCTGGTAATCATGAGCAAATAAGCTGTAAAAAAATTCTTATTTACTTATTCTTTTGATCGGTCCCACTTTATACTGTCTCTAATAACTCTGCAGTTACATGGGAACTGCATATACAACAACAACTTGACTACTAATGATTTAATCACTGTTACAGATGGATTAGAGAAGTACACCTTATGCAATTACACATGTACCAACTTCAGTTTTGCCTCATGTAATTACATATGTGTATCTGAATAGGCATAAAAGCCTATTCTCTCTAATGTAATTACACATGGGTAATAAGATTAATGTAGTTACATTTGTAATCAGACTGGAACGGCAGTTTTCAGTTTCAGCTTTTCTAACACTTAGCTAGCATTTATGTTGTTAGTGCTGACATTGTAACCAGTTTCAGCTTTAAACCAGTGTGTAATGTGACAGAACAACAGAATGTCCCCTTATCTTAACATGCAACATTTATGACATCAATTAAATGTGTTGCATTAAACCCAAAGCAATGTCTACATTACCACTACATTATTACACAGTACCTACATAACAAATATACAGGAACTGTCCACTTATTTTAAGAGTAACTTTAACATGACACTACAGGAAAGTTCCTGTGTAGTTGTTATAAAGGTACAGTGTAATTACAGAATGGTATTAATCAATGTGATGTGATTAGATTGCCTTGTTATAACACATTTATTCCACAGTAATCATGCAAAACATAACACATAAAAAATGTTATGTAAAACATACTTTAACTGCTGGAAAAGACTTCTGATCTGTAGTGTATCAAAAAGATATACTCGTGTAATTACATAGGCTGTACTTCTGTAATTCATTTGTAACATTGACTAAATCATCAGTAGTTAGTGTTGTTGCATATGTTATTCATGTATAACTACACAGTTATTATAGATGCTTACTACAAAGTGGGACCTTTTGATTTTTCATTCAAAATATTAGCAAAAACCTAAAGCTCCCCTTTATATAAAGTATTATGATTATGATTGATTCATGTTTTGTGTTTTACTGTTCACCTGAGCTATTAGGAACAGAGATGTTAAATGTCTGCTGGGAACAGGACGTAAACTAACCCCACGCACAGTGAAGAGGATGGTTCAAATGCACAAAGAATCTCCAAGGATCACAGATGGAGAACTGCAGATGTTAGGTCTTGGGATCAGAATGTCTCCCAAACTACAAAACACCATTTATAAAACCACAAGTTTTTTGGGGGCCTGCCAGAAGAAAGCCCTATGGTTTGCCAAACATTACTGGAACTTTCAGTGGGATCGTGTTCTGTGATGAGATGAGACCAAAACAGAGCTTTTTGGTGATAAACACCAGAGGTGAATTTGCTGTGGACACAAAGACAGCCATGCAGAAAAGTACCTCATGCTCACTATGAGTTATGGTGGTGGATCTATGATCCCGAGTGGCTGTTTTTTGACCAAAGGCCCTGGACAATTTATTAGGATACATGGTATCTCCATCAAGTACCAGCAGAAATAAAAAAAACCTGATGCCTCAGCCTGGAAGCTTAAACTGGGCCATAGTTTGGATCTTTCAGCAGGACAATGATTCAAAGTAGCCTCAAAATCAACACAAGAATGGTTCACTGACCTCAGAATTAACATTCTGCCATTGACACATCAGTCCCTCCTCTAAAAAATATCTATTTCCTGATAAGATTTAGGTTTTGTTCTACTCAATGTACTTCAAATAATGCTTAAATTGTTGTTAATATTTTGAATGAAAGTTCAAAAGGATAAGCAATGAGGAATGTTTTTACAGCCTGTTTTGCTGATGTTTATCAGCGCTGCCAATATTTGTATAGGGCATTGTATCTACTTCAACTTTACACACATATTGTCTTTAGAGTTATGCATGTGAATTTTTCAGCAGAAACAAACATCAACGGGTTTTATTTTAACATGAATACTTTGTTTCAAAGCTCGTGTTGGCTGTTACAACTTTGAGGACTTTATAGTGAGACGTCATTAGTTTTTTTACAACATTGTGGTTCAATTTTGGTCTATTCCTCTCAGCAAAACATCTTCGATTGCCCAAAGTTACAAAGGTCCCTCTGTTAGACTCGCAATTGCAAAACCTCAGTCAGCACATTTGCTACATAGGATTGGTGAGTCATGAGATTCCACAACAGACAACAGTACAACAAACAACAAAGACAAAAGCATCTGAGTGTTTTCTCTCACTATATACAAATGAACTTGCTATGCTTTCCTTTGGATTCACAATAACATCCTATTGTTCCACTGTCCAATGAGTAAGAATGTATACTGAAACAATTCTGACATATAAACAGATTTCTGACATATATAAATCACAGGATTAAGTAACATCCTTTACATGTCTTTAGTGTTTACATTTTCAGCAGCACAATAATAATTACCATTCGCTATTTTCTCATTAGCAACATCTTGAAGAGGAATCAAACTTCACTTCACTTGGCTGACTTATATATGCCTTTGTTTGCTCCTCAATGAACCACTGATCAACTGGAATCCTGAATACCTCAAATACATTTGCAGACTGAGATAAAGAACACATACCTGTAGTTGAGAGATGAGGAAGATGTGTGGTTTGTGTCTCCACTGATGATGGAGGAGAATATGTGGGGGAGACAATGGAAGAATTTGAGGAATCTGAACAATGGAAATGATACAGTGTAAAATTAGTTTGCATACTTTTTTTTTTCTCACTGGAGACACAATAAGACTAACTCAACACCCTTTATTTTGTTATCAGCATTTCTGCTTTGAGAGTGTAGAAGTGTTGAAATCAGTCTTGACTCACCCAGTTTAACCAGTAATAGCATCTCTGTGTAAAGATCAGTACGTAGAGTCCTCTGTATCCCACACCAGTATGTTCCTCCATCCTCTGGTCTCAGATCAGTGATGTTGATGGTGAAGACTCTGGCTGCTGTGTCATCATTCAGAGAGAATCTCTGATCTTCAGCAGATCCAGACCGAACAGGAATGTCTTTAGTTCCCCAAGGCAGAGTAGAACATTCTCCTCTGCAGAGATACTTTATGTTGGTCTCATATCCAGAATCATAGGAGCATTTAATCTGAACTGACTGTCCTCTGTGTCCAGTTACAGTAGTTACAGCACTGATTCCAGCTGTAAAAGAAGAGATAATGTATTAGAGAATAATAAACACCTGAGGTCTGATACATTATTCAGCCAGTAAAGAGATACAAGATGAAAAGTAAGTGGAGATTCTCACTGGAAACCCTGTAAAATCTTTGTAAAAGCTGTTGGTCTAATAAGCCTGAGATTATGAATGACTACAAAAGCTACACACAAACATCTTACTGAGATAATAACAGCATGAAGACACACGAGAGAAGGAGAAAATGTTCATTTGCTTCTTTGGCACTGTTGTATGTTACTGAGTTTGTAAGATACACTCTTCATTTAACAAAATTTAACACGAAAACTGAAAATTAAAACTCACCAGGAGAGAGGATGGCCACAATGATGATCGAGATGATGGTCATGTTTAAATTGAAATTAAACTCTCGTACAGGTCAGTTTACACATGACAAACTGTCCTTATAAATGAAACTAAACAAGAAGCTTGTCATATGAGCTTTCAGCACTTCCTCATTTCACAGAAACGTAAAAAAAGGGAAACTCCATCGATTTGTCGACATTTCTGAGTAATTGAATCATTAAGATGCAAGTAAAGTCATCCAGAGTGGTTTAGTGTAAAATGCTCTGTTGATGAGAATTCTAGCTCACAGAAAGTTATTCTGTGAAATGGTTATAAATACGCTGCATGATGCATGAGATTAGTTTTCATTTGAGCTCATGCGTGGTGGAGAGGTACATACAAGGTAAAACAGTCCCCAAAGAACATTTTTTTCAGATTTATCACTATTTTACCATCATCAACATCCTATATAAAAGCTCAGAAAGCATGTGTAGGTTCAATGGTGGTTTTGGATAGTAAATAAAATGTCTATATTTGTGTTGTAGCCATAGCGACCCCTGGTTCCTATCACCACCACTGTAAAGACACCTGAGTCTCCTCATATCAAACCACTCTGAATGACTTTATTTAGTTCTCAATCTCTGAATTACACAGAAATTCTGAAAGACTGGTAGAATTCCCCTTTTACAACCCAGTCATCTCTTTCTCTCTCATTCTCTCTCAAAACACAAACACTGTGCCCAGGCAACTTCCTCTTTAATGCTTACTGAGAAGATGATGATCTGAGATCAATGTCGTAATAGTTAGTGTAATAGTCGTAATGTAGTTATTAGAGTGTAAAACACTGATTCTAAATTAGGAACACAAATCATTTAGTGGATTATTCAGTTGTTACTGGGAATGAAGGCTGGACACCAGTAGAAATCACTTTTCTGACCTGCTCTTGGCCTACCCAGTGTTAAGACCCCCAGTCATAACATTCCTTCTGTGCACCTTGTGCTGGTATTTTGTTTGCCCTCTTGTTTGTTGCATTATATGCAGGTTCATGAATGACCACATGAGGGTGCTCTCCTATATAAGACGTTGCCTAGACCCCACCTGGGGAGATGTTTAAGGCTCTTTCACCTCTTACGAGGGGACCTGGAAGTACACCTGTCCAGATCAGCACAGCACTCTTCACTCAGCTTCGCTTCTCTTATTAAGATCATTAAGCTTTATTAGACTTCTTAAGACTTTTTTATTTTACTTTATTTTCTGTTTTAGTTAGTTTTAAGGCTGTTAGTAGTTTTGTTTGTCCCCGAAGATTTAAAGAAAATATGAATAAACCTCAGCTGTTTTCCAGTTTAGATGTGGTCCGGTGTTTGGTCTGATGACAGGTCTCGGGAAAGAGCCCACTCTCATTTTATATCATGGCCTGACTCTAGACCAGGTCATAACCCTGACCAAGGCAGTGCAGCTGTAGGCCATGGGTCCAAAGCACAGATGGTACCACTTTATAATAAGACTACTCTCAAGACTACTACTCTTTATGAATGGTTTAGTATTAGTTTATTAACAGTTATTAATCAGGGCATAAAAGGTTATGGTGACACTTTATTTTCAGTGGTCCTTTTAGATGAAATAAACTTTCAACAGACTCTCAGTAACATGTCAAAATTGTATTAGGATTAGGTTTTGGGTTGAGGTTGAGGTTAGGGTTAATATTGGGGCCAGGGTGAGGGTGAGGATTAGGTTTTGGGTTGAGGTTAAGGTTAGGGTTAGTATTCGGGCCAGGGTGAGGGTTAGGATTAGGTTTTGGGTTGAGGTTAAGGTTAGGGTTAGTATTGGGGCCAGGGTGAGGGCGAGGATTAGGTTTTGGGTTGAGGTTAAGGTTAGGGTTAGTATTGGGGCCAGGGTGAGGGCGAGGATTAGGTTTTGGGTTGAGGTTAAGGTTAGAGTTAGGCTTAGGGCCAGGGTGAGGGTTAGGATTAGGTTTGGGGTTAGGTGTTGAGTAAGGTTGGTAAGGTTAGGTTTTGTGTAATGGAAGAAACATTAACAAAACATTTTCTTAATGTAAATAATGCATCAACAGTACATCTTCAAGATATTTACCTCATTGTATTCAGATGCTGCACTACTGCTACTTTACTGATATGTTGTTGATGTGTTACTGATACTATATTAAGAGTTTACGAATCATCTACCACTCCAAATAAAGTGTTACGAATAAAAATGAATATCTGATGAAGCTGACATATAACATTGACTGATGGAGAAAACAAAGAATGATAAGTAAGACATGATTAACCATTGAGATGAATATGAGCTTACTGTTTTAAATGTTATCACTCTTCTGTACAATATACAATAACTATGCAGCCCTTAGGCCCAGAACAGTAGAGGCTAGACCGTGTTCAGTGGAGTTGGAGAAACAGACCATCAGAAGCGACTGTTTAATAACTGCATTATTATCAGTTCACTGACATTAAGTAATCATCCTTATCAGCATAAACACAAGCATTGTCAGAAGTGCAGGTAATGGCTTATGAAGGTCAGTAGGGGGAGCCATGCATTCACTGCTTGACCTTAGACCACAGGCATTGGCTCATGAGCTGCTGAATGCTGTTGTTTTATTGGCTCCAAACTGAAACATCAGCTTGAATTAGGGAGTGGTACATGTAAATGATATGTAAATGAGGTACTGGTAGGCTGGGGCTTTCCATCTTTGTTTTCATGTTGTATTCAAGTTTCATGAAGTAGGCACAGAGCATTTCAGATGATATTAAAGGCAGCCAAATTTGCACTCTTTTTTTAGATAATGAATAAGGGCAGATTTGTGGACGTTATAATGTCTGTGCATATAAAGTCAATTCTGACTCCTGACAATAGAAGCACAAGCAGGAATTTTGGGCTCTTTGCCTCACCTCATTTCCCTCTGCAGAAACGTTCCCAATATTAAAACATGCCAACTCTTTAGTTTCATATAGCTTTATAGTCCCAACTATTTAGAATCCAGTGGTGAAGGGGACATAACAGCACAAAAACGGAGGATGTGTTGCTTTATAGTTTTATAAGAGAAACACATAAAAGCTGTAAATTTGCAGTACTTTATATTACAGGCTTCTGTTTTGTTTAGACAGCTCTGTCTCATCCATTTCCATTCAATCACTGCAGTTACTGTAACATATGCTTTCTTTCTACTAACAGCCTTAAAGGTATTTATTTGGGCCGCTGTCTCTTCATGGCCCTCAGAATCATCGCAATCCCCCGCTTTTCACCCCCTCACCCCCTTTACAGCACTCCTGCCTGGCAGCCGTAGTAGTCTTTGTTCAGAATATCCTGTCTTTCGGGTCTTCAGGCTGGGTATAGAGAATGCCTCATAGGTTATGTGAACTTGAAGGAAGATAATGAAAGTGAATATATTGTCAGATAAACAACCATATACAAGATAAAGAAACAAAACGTTACAGACACATTAGAAAATGTTCTTCCACACCTTGTGTGCAATTACATATTTCCACCAGAGAGGGCTCTAAGTCGCCAACTCCTGCACAGTGTTGCTTTAAATATCATGTAGATGCATTGCAAAAAAAAAATAAAAATGTGTGAAGAGATTAGATTAGATAAAAGTTGATTGTCTATTTTTACAGAAGACATATTGCACAAACCCAATCATCAAAAGTATACAAAAATTCCAAAATGCATCAATATAAATAACAACAAACACACAACACTGGACAAAATTGAATCTGTGCATGCTCATTTATCACCCTAACAAAAAGCACCAATAATACATATTTCCCACAATACGAGCATCAATATACGAATGCCTTCCTTTTCTTTTTGGTTTAGTAATAATATAATATAATGCTTTCCTGAGAGATGTAACTGAATCTCACATAAAAAGATGCCCAAGACAGAAAAATAAATAAATAAGTAAATAAACAAATTCTTTACAAATTTTACAAATTACTTCAATAGCAAATCTAGTGACTTTACAGTGACCAATGCACAGTGACCAGCATGACAAAAGATAACCCACCAAAGTTGCTCATAAAAATAGCTTTAAGGGAATAAGACCTCTAAATTGTTACTTTGATTCAACAAAATGGCTTTAAAGAGCAGTAAATCATATGCAAAGCTTTAACTTGCATTTTTCTCTGTCGCAAAAACTTGGGCTGTGTTCTAAATATCATACTGTGTACTGTATACGGCATGCTGCACCAGTATATATTGTATACTGCATGCTACTCTTTATAGTAGTATACTGTATAATATCCAGCATATGACACAAGCCATGTGCTGCACTACAGGAAAGGGGCCTTCCAGTTACTAGTTAGTAACCATTGCTAGCCGCTTTTCAGCACGAATGTTCTGTGTGACTTTTAAAATACAGCCCTTACAGTGACCGGGCCGGGACAGTGTTTTCTGCTCAACTCCAAAGCCACAAATAAACTGTCAGCTTTTTGGGTTTGTCCATGTGGTAAATCTGTGTGGTTTCCAAACACAGCTGTTTTCTTCTGTTTGCAAGTCATTTCATTTTCATTACACTCGTAGTTAGAAATATGATCTAGTTTGACTAGCTGAAAAGCTGGTGCTGTGTGGACTGTTTGGCTGAGATCAACTTCAGTAAGTGATTATTTTAGCCAGGCTCTCAGCTCACAGATGCCCCAGTGCCTTTGGCATTGATACTGACTCTACTGCCACTTACACTTACACAGAGATGGCCTCATAAACGAAGACGACAAACCTTGCAGTCTTTTACAGCAGCAGTACAGGTATCAACCTGACTCCCCAGTGGCATAATGTTAGAGGGGATTAATAACATTGAAGATTTTGTGAGCTAATAGTTATGCACATTTTAAGTATGTCACTCATTATGAAAGTAAATTTGTGTCTGCATCTTCCTGTGGTCTGTTTATAGTGCCAAGCTTGGCTGCTGTTGCTGGGGGTTTATCTTGGCTACAGAGGAAATGACATCATTTTCTGCCATGCATAAGCGTGTCACTTTAGACTGCGCCTGAGTGTAACTGATGTCATTTGCTCTGTAGCGATGAGGAAAAACCCAGCAGCAGCAGAAACAGCAGCAGCACATACTGATCTGGATTCTACTTTTAGAATTGAGAATGTGGTGT